TTTGTTTTTATGATCAAATATAAGCTATTCATTAGAGATCACACACAAATTATCCATGTCCCACTGCTAACAGATGTGAACATAATCCTCAAGACGTACTAATTTAACAGTAGAGAGAATGTAGAGCAACACCTCCAAATGTTTCTGGCATCGTGTTCCCCTGGAATGGAGGGACAGTTAGGGTGATTTGCAACCTAACTAGGCCACCATTTAAAGGTATGATATTTAATTGTTCAGGTTGAGTGTGATTTATTTTTGCCCTTTGAGTCAAACCATTCAGCTGATAATAAATGTGACTAATGCCCTCCTGTATAAGAAACAATGGACACGATCACCATACTAAATAATGATGTGAGTGAGGCAGGCTCAGAAAGTTCACTGTGTGTGAAAATGTAAATTACAGCACATCCGGTGGTTTTATCCAATTGGGGGTATGGCTTAATGCTAAACCCAGAAAATGAATAAAACAAAATAAATTGATTTGTCTCTGCAACTTTGAAAGTGTGTGACTAAATGTATACCTATCTGAAGAGTCATTAACAATGTCACTCTATCTTATTGGAGGGATTTTGCAGGCATCTTGTTCTGACAATAATTGAAAAGAACGTCAACTATTTTGCATTTCTAAAATTACTGTATCTGCAGGTCAGCAAAAATGTTTTTATATTTGCTCATTCGTGTTTTTATTTCTGTCCATCAGAGGAAGAGTTAGGTACCTAAACTTATTTACTTATTGTGATGAAAACTGTTCATTACATTTAGTGGATTGATAATCCTGGAAAGAATTTGTCTTTATGGGGGGGAAAATTACCTGATTTGCCTAAGACTTTGAGGAGAGATCTGGGTTGGCCTGGTGACGTAGAAATTCACAACTTCTGAGTCAAGAAGAAGTCGTGACATTTGTATGGATCAGAACTCTTTGCTGTAAAGAACAGGAAATGAGCCGGACTAGTTTAAGCACTCATCATAGGGGCTGGAGGATCAGGCTCAGAAATCAGCCCCAACCAACGTGAGCTGTAGAAACAGTCCCTTCCAGGCCCTGCTGACGCTTCTAGTAGCTCACCGAATGCTGACCACGATGGGCACCATTGCCATTGGGGAACACCATCAACATGAGTGACTGTAAGTGCCCTTCGGTGTCGGTTCCTGTGCATCTGACGGGCCACCCTTCGTCATGTCCCCTACTTCTTCAAGGGGCATGAAGTAGAAAGAGTTCATCCTGAGTTTCCTTAGTGAGCGTTGGGGAACCACATCCCACCAGCACCACAGAGTGGAGTATACCTGCACATACATAAGGGAGCTAGCCCTGACTGGTGTTGCTCAGTGGTTAAAGTGTTGGCCCTCTGACAGAAGAGGTGTGGGTTCAGTCCCTGGCCCTGGCCAGGGCGTGTGTAGGAGGCAACCAATCAATGTGTCTCTCTCACATGGATGTTTCTCTCTGTCTCTCTCCCCCCTCCCTCCCTCCCTTCCACTCCATCTGAAAATCAATGGGAAAAATATCCTCCGGTGAGGATTTTTTTAAAAAGGTGGGGGTTGGATGTGGAGACAGTCTGGATAAAGAGAAAAACAGTCAGCAATGCTCATCTCTACGGTGCAGGCGGGGTCCGACTTACAGGCCTCATTACAGTTCCTCTCATGCCCAGGACGGCATTTCTGTACCTCACATTAAACGTTTTGCCCTGGCCCCTTCTTCCTGCCTCAGCCCGTCTTAGTATTTTACTTCAGCACTCCCAATCCACCAGTAACTGTTTCCCTCACCACCACCCTCTCCTCTCCTTCCACTTCATGTTGGATCTTTCTCCCCAGGTCACAGGAGACACTCCTCACTGATGTTTGAAGAAGGAAGAACCAGGACCAGACGGGGAAAGGGCGAGGCAGAAGGCCAGCTGCAGAGAACATCCTTGTTCTCCCAGGTATATGTTCGGATACCACGCTTGGAAAGCCAGATGCAAATGCTATACAAATGGGTCAATGGCGAGATAGGTCTGCCATATTGCTCCCTATATTTAGGCTTTTATAAAGCCTGAAGCCCACCAGCACCACAAACTTAAATTCTTACACATCTGATTGGTTTACAGATAGCCCAAATAAGCAGATTTTTTTTTTTTTTAGCAATCTAGAACCTGCCTGTTTTACATACCTCATGAAACTATGCAACAATTACTAGCCATACATAAGATAAACTCCATAGCTAGAGAAGCCCCCAAACTGCTGATGCTCTTTGGAGCTCTCTGAGCCATGGACTCCCTCCCTTGCTGCTGCATGACATGGCCTGGACACATAGCGCCTTCCCCAGTTCTCCTTTCCCCTGAGGCCTCCCCGGCCCTCTTCCTCTTCTGAGGCAAAGCCCCATACTGCTGCCTCTGGAAGGTCTCTTGCTGTGAGGGACGCACTCTCTCTTGCAGCCCAGTAAACGATATTGCCATCTCATGGTCTGGCTTTTTGTTCATCAGCCCCAAAATTCTCAGAAACATCACAGCACTTTATCTTTTTTTTTTTTTTATATAATATATTTTTATTGATTTTTTTTTTCCAGAAAGGAAGAGGGATAGAGAGTTAGAAAACATCGATGGGAGAGAAACATCAATCAGCTGCCTCCTGCACAGCCCCTACTTTGGATGTGCCCACAATCAAAGTACATGTCCTTGACTGGAATTGAACCTAGGATAGCTGACGCTCTATCCACTGAGCCAAACCGGTTAGGGCACAGCAATTTATCTTTTATTATCCATGATTCAGAACTTCTCTATGATCAGACTAAGTTTCAGCTATACCAAGGGCTTCCATCAATTAATCTGGAAGCCTAACTCTCAGAAATATGTAGGGTGACCAGCTGTCTCCGTTTGCCAGGACTGTTGGCTCTCCAGGACTATGGGTATTCTGGGATGTAGGACTATCAGTGCTGAAACTGGGAAAGTCCCCTGCTAATCACAATGAGGCGGTCACCTGAGGAATTTTCTCTGGGAAAATACATTCTGCACTTCAAACAACTGCTTTCAAGTCAACTCAGTGAATACTACCTTTGCACAGGGCCTGGGGGAAAGTACTTCACCCATCTATTTAATGTGATCTTGCTTGTAAGTAGGGCAGATGTGGATATGTTAACATGATGTTTTGAGACCTTGCACTGAAAGTCTTAGTGTTCAGAAATCCTTCATAGTATATCCTATACACGAAGGATATCAAAAGAATTTTCATGACTTGGCTGAGTCAAGGAATATTTTCTAGTGCTCCTTCCCAAAAAGAGAACAATGAAATGGCTAGTCTTTCTTTAGAAATTTTCCATTGAAAGATTGATTATTTCTGGGTTCCTGTTGTCCATGGGTTAACGCATGTATGCATACAAGTTCTGTGGTTGATCTCTTTCTACCCACCCACCCACCTACCCCTGCCTTCCCTCTGAAATTTGACAGTATGTTCTATACTTCTATGTCTCTTCTCGCTGTTTTTTAATGGTGTCCTTTAAAGTACAAAAAAAGCCAAAATCGGTTTGGCTCAGTGGATAGAGCATCCCAGGTTCGATTCTGGTCAAGGGGCATGTACATTGGTTGTGGTCACATCCCCAGTAGGGGGTGTGCAGGAGGCAGCTGGTCAATGTTTCTAGCTCTCTATCCCTCACCCTTCCTCTCTGTAAAAAATCAATAAAATATATTTAAAAAAATAAAATACAAAAAAATTAATCTTGATGAAGTACTATTTATTTTTTCTATTATCATATGTACTTTTGATGTTATATCAAAGAAGCCATTGCTTAATCCAAGGTAAAAAAAAAATTACTTCTATGTTTTCTACGTTTTATAGTTTGAGCACTTTTATTATAGTCCAGGATCCATTTTGAGTTAATTTTTGTATATGGTATAAGGTAGGTCTAACTTTGTTCTTTTGCATGGGGTTATGCAATTGCCGCAGTACCATTTGTTGAAGAAACTATCCTTTCTCCATTTTTTTTTTAAGATTATTTATTTATTTATTCTGTTTAGAATTTGTCTTCCTCCTTTCTCCATTGAAGTCTCAGCACCCTTGTCAAAAATCAGTTAACAAGAAATGTGAGGATTTATTACTGGATTCTCAATTCTATTTCACTGATCTTTTTGTCTGCCCTTATTTATGGACCATACTGTCTTCATTATTGTAGTTTTGTAGCAGGTTTTGAAACCACAAAGTCTGAGTCCTCCAACATTATTCTTTTTTTGCAAGATTTTGGGGCTCTTTTGAGTCCCTTGAATTTCCATATCTATTTTCAGATTAGTTTGTCAATTACTGTAGAAAAAACAATTAGGATTTTGATGAGGATTGTATTGACTCTATAGATTAATTTGGAAAGTATTGCCATCATAATATTAAGTCTTCTAATCTATAAACATGTTAAATTTATTTCTGTGCATTTTATTGTCTTAGTGCTATTGTAAATGTAATAATTTTCTTTATTTTTAGATCATTCATTGCTAATAAGTAACAATACAACTGCATTTTGCATATTGATTTTGTATCTTGCAACTTGCTAAACTTGTTGATTAGTTCTAATAGTTTTTTGTGTGCATGTATTTCTTTTTAGTTTGTTTTTTTGCTTTTATTTTTATATGTATCTATTTATTAAAATTTTTTTAAATAGGAAAGATCATGTCTTCTACAAAATGCGAGAGTTTTACTTCTTTCTTTCTAACCTGGATGCCTTTTTTTCTTTTTCTTGCATAATTGCCAAGAAAAGAAAATGGCTAATCCTCTTTAAGGAAATATGACTAAGCTTAAAGAAAATATGATATTTGAGCTAGGTCCTGAGAGACAAATAGGATTTTGCCAGGCAGGATAGAGAAAGGAAATTTTTCTATATATTCACTACTGCAATCCCTGTTTCTAAATTTTTATTTTAAAGAGGTGATTTTTAAAATTTGCTTCTAAAGTGTTATCATAAATAATTTGTGAAACAAAATCCCTTGGTCTAAGGTGAAACTTTCCATGCACTGAGAACTCAGTAGTGTGCTCTTATCTTATTCCTGCACTGAATTTTCTGGACTATGTGACTGAAGTTCATTGGAACAGGCAGCACAACCTATGCTCTTTAGTCTTTACATAAATAAAATCCTTGGGTGTCAGACTGGACATTCGCCTGCCCAGTTAAAGAACTGCAGAGTTCTTTCTAATTTTGTCTCCAGATTTCATGCCACCACTGCTCCGGCAGAGGGCATGCTTTTGAAATGAAATCCTTTCAAAATAAGATTCCTCAGCCTTTTTACTTTTGGTTCATAGCCTTTAATTTCTGTGCATTTATTACTACCATAAGTGCAGGAAATAGGAAATAAAGTTAATCCTTAAATTTATGACAAGAAGTCAGAAAATAGTTTTCCCAAAGAATAAAAATAGGTGGTAATGAGAGCTTAGCTTTAAGAAACCAGACACTAGTGACAAAGCTGTGTTCAAGCACACTTGTGGGGCGGGGACTGGCGGGGGGGGGGGGGGGGGGGGGGGTGGGGGGGGGGAAGGGATGGGGTGAAGATGAGGCTACTAACCAGAAAGCCAAGAGAGAAATTATGCCATTTGAATACATTTTTGTAGTATCTATGTTCGATTGAAGTGCTTTGACTTAGTCCAAATAATTGTTTGTTTTTTATATGTAAACATATTTCCATAGAAAAACAACTAATGGGCAAACTATAATGACTGCATGCATACATTGTCGTGGGATAAGTAGGTCTAATGACAAGGACCCAACTATAATTTTATTCCCCTAGCCCCACCCCCATTACTACTCTTTAATCACTTTTCTCCTCTAGTTCTCATTTTGCACAAAATTTGCCTATTTCATTGTGATTTTGAGCTAATCACCTGAGATAACTCATACAAATGAGCCTTTTAAAATAAATTAGCTTAAAACAAGAAACACTTGATCTTGCAGTTCTCTTTCTGCTGATGGAGGACCATATACTTAAAGGTCAAAAGTCTGTGTGGGTTGCATAGCCTTACCCTCCTGGGAGGGAGACCAGCTTCATTCAAAACTTTTATGTAGAAACCTTAACCACTGAGGCACAGGGTCTTAGACGTACAAATAAAAGACTTTTTTCTCAATAAGCATGGACCTTGGAAGTGAGTCTCTTAAAGGTAAATTATCTGTGGAAACTAACCCCCAGCTTACAGCAGTGATCTATCAATAGTTATACATATTAATTCACATTACTTAATGCATATGTGTAGATAGATGGATAGAGCACTTGCTCTGTGCCAGACGTTGGGTTTAGACACAGGGGATACATCAGTGAATAAAACAGACAAAATCCCTAATCTATGGGGACTTCCATTTTTTTGGGGGGGGGGGGGACGGAAGGGAGGGGGACAGTTACTGAGGTGTGTGGGGTTTTTTTTTGTTGTTGTTGTTGTTGTTTTTTTGTTGTTGTTGTTGTTTCCATTTGCTCCTTTAATAAAATATAGAAAAAATTTAGGGAAGTTTGCATTTTCTCTGCTAACATATTTATATACAAATGATGAGCAAATGTCTGGGTTATTAAATTAAAATATAATTTTTTTTCTCATTTTGGGAGAAATTTTCATTAAGAATTCAGTTTTGTTCATTGTCGATAATATTTATTCGCACCTATTGTAAACAGAGACTCTAACAGGTGTTTATTAAATACTTAAGGGGGTTTGTGGCTTGTCCATATCTTCACAATTTCCCCCATTTATTTTTCTCAATTTTCCTGCAAGTTCTTACTTACCCCTTATTACAGAAACTTGAGATGAATTTGTAATGGGCATTTAGTAACAAATGCTTTTATAATGGTTTTTAGTTAATAAATCATTTTATCAGACATTAACTCTTTTGAGACAACCAGCATTCCCATCCATAAATGCTATTTCCGGTTTGCAATTGAGGAAACTGAGGTCCAGAGACAATTAGTAACATACTCAAAGTTGCACAGCTAATGAGAGGCCCTGCTGGGATTCAAACTCACATTTTCTGCTTACAGATCTTAAGACCTTTCCCCAGAACGCCTCTTTCCCTTCTCTTAGACAATGAAGCTGTCACCTGACTTTTAGCTCCTTCTTAAGCATACCAAAAGTCATCCTGTCAAGAAATTTATTAGAGTTATGCAGCAGATACAGGAAAACATTAGAATATTTTTTCCTTTTAGTTTGTATAAATTCTTGCTGAATCCTAGAGTCTAAAGGTAAATGAAATCAATAATTAACACCACTGGTACTAATGACAGCCAAAGTCTACTTTTTGACTTGTCTTCCTTTCTAACCTACACGTCAGTGTTGGAAGGATACAAATGAGAATTGCTTCCAGACACTCTCCGACTAACGCTAAGTGGAGCTGATTCTGGCTTAATCTCTATTTAGAGTAGGAGGTATTGACACTAACTGAAGTCGATATGCAAGGAAGAGCACTGATCACCGATTAAAATAAAATAGGAAAATGAGCCTAATCTACCCAAAAGGCTAAGAATGCCCAGTTTTAGGAAAAGAGAACTAGGAGAACTCCTGAGCAGGTTTAGATGTGGAGCAGAGCTGGGCATTCCCTGACTATGGGAGCTGTGCCCTTGGTTTAAATTGTTCCCAGTTTTGTAATAGTGAGTGACTATGGTTTATCTCTGTGCACCTATTGGTGGTCATCTAATCGATGCCCACGGTGGCCATTGGCTGGTCTTCCAGTCTGTGCAAGGGAGCAATCAGAACGTGAGGGAAAAGGTTAAAGAACAAAAAGAACAAAGAGAACGGAAAGACATGGTGTTGGTGGTAGACACAGTACCGACAGGTCCTCATTTAGACCATGGACTACCTAGCCCTGGGTGAAAAGGAGGTGGGAGTCAGAGTTTCTACGCTCTTATCCTTGCTATCCTGGGGCCCAGGGTAAGAATACAAAGGAAAGCCACATACCTTATGTCCAAACCCTATAATTAAAAGGCTAATATGCAAATTATCCCCTCAATGAGGAGTTCAACCTGAAGTTTGACCAGGAGGTGGGGCCAGCTGGCCAACTGCCCTCGGCCCCTCCCCCTGGCTGGCACGGCCCAATTGGCCCCAATCGGGGCTGGCTGGCTGGACCCCCGCCTGTGCATGAATTCGTGCACCTGCCTCTAGTAGTTAAATGTTCTAAATGAAGAGGGCAACCCAATAAATGACATACCTTGACAAATATACCATTATAGTGACCTAGAGGGCCAAGTTCGAACTTAAAATTGTCTGACATCCCAAAGTTCCACGTTGGAACATGGTGGCAGAGGGAGAGCTGGGCCCAAACACTTGTTCAACCCACCCCCTCATCCCCAGCTCTGACCTCAACCATGAGTGGCTTTATCTAGTGGGAATAGACACCCCAGACTGCCCCTTTCTCCCACAGCATAGGCAGAAGGTTTAGGTTACCCTTCAGCTAAGGATTTCCAGGCCAGCAGTGCTGTCTGTTTCCCAAAAGATCAGCTTGGGATGTGGTCTGCAGAAGTCTCCAAAGTGGCCTGAAGACATTTGGTCAAGGTGGGTAGGGGACAGCTGGATTCCAGGTGGACACATCCCTTTGGCTCTAAGAATCCCTGGCCCCATAGGAGGGATGTTGCTTGAGGAAAGCCAGAGCAGAACCCTCTGACTCATGTTTCCCAGGACAGGGCTCCTCTTGGGTGGATCTAAACATGATGCCCCTGTGTCCTAGTATCCAGTCCAACTTACCAATCATGCAAAATGCGTGGCATGTTCTCTTTCAAATAGCCGTGCGGGCAGGAGCTGGTGTGCGCCTCCCAAAATGTGCAACCCCATGCATGTGCTGGCCTGCTATTCAGGTGGACTGTGTGGATAGAACATTTCTAAAATAAAACCCAGTTCCCAGCATTCTGGAAGACACTGTGTGGCAAGACATGACCTAATAAAACTATGCTTCTTATTGTCTTTATTATTGTTTGACTTTTGCTGATTGAGTGTTTAAACTCAAGAAACCACTAAGTCTAATTTGTTTTTATCCATCATGACTGGCTTGCTTCCTCCTGGCTCACTTAAAAACCTTTGGACTAGTTTCATCATTTGGGTTAATGTAAAATTAATTGTACAGTTTCTCTATTTGCTTTGGTAACGTGTAGCTTATCGTTTTAGAAGCGTTCGGGTTATAATTACATAAAAACACATCGAGGAACAGCAGTACATTTCTCTTGTTCTTGAGTATTCTTTAAAGCTTTCTGGAGTAGCACTTAGAGCCAAGATACTCATTCCCATCGGCCCCTGCGTGGCTGACAAGGCCTTGGCTGGCTGGAGCTCTGAGGCCAGTGGCTTCTATTTTCCAGAGGCCTCTTCTTTACCCCAATGTAAAACTTTACCATTTTCTAAATGTGCTCTGAAGTTAAAGAGGTTAGGGGCTTTACAAAAGTAGTTTCGCTCTGAATGCATCTGAGAATAGATGCACTTATTAATTTACTCTGAGTTATTAATCTAAATGAGATAGGCCATTGCCTCTAGTTTAGAAGTTCATTTGCTCACCTCAATTTTCTGAAATGCTTTTCCTTCCCCCTCATCTCAGTGTCCCCTGGTTCTATTTATCCTTCAATACCTGCCTGAGTTATTCAATCATCAAACAGATACAAAGCTCCTATTTCCACGTGTCATGCCCACCATCGTCCTGAAGCCTTCCTTAACCATCTGGCTGGCCATGGGCTCTCCCTCTCCCTCTTCAGTACTCACAGTGCATTTCATTCCTATTCTCTCTTAAAAAAATAAAATAATAAAATAATATATATATATGGCTGCTGCCTCATGGGGTTATTTGAGAACTAAATGAGATAACACCTGAAAGAAATACTGAGAAGAGTTGGCATACAGAGAATGGTAGAAGGAATGATAATAACCACCATGGTCCAGGCTTGGGGATACATTCTTTACATACTGTATTATCGACCTAACTCCTACAGAGAGAGGAAGAACAGGTATTATACTTGTCTTACAAACAGGCAACCCAAGGCTCAAAGAAGCTAAGTAGGACACAAACCAGGCAATCTGATTGCAGCCAACCTTCTCACTCACTGCAGGACACCAGTGGCAAAGACAAGAGTATCAGGATCTAGTGGCATTGTTCCTTCAGGTCACTTGTTGAAGAAACATGTTGGAAAGGACAGAAGTTTATACATAAAGGATTCCTAAACTGGAATGGAGAGTCAGATGTGGCAGATGGAGAGGTTGGCAGAAGTCAAAGGCAATGAGATTTTCGGCTGAATCTGCAGTGGGAGGGGTGGTGCGCCCTGGTGCCTGATGTGGAGAGATGAGGGTAGGAAATAGGGTGTGGCTTTTGGTTCCATAATA